ATACTAACATCTTTATACGCGATATTGCATCCCAAGAGCACAATTATATTGTCACGCGATATCTTGCGACGTATATAACGTTTATTGATCGAGTTTGTAACGATAGCTCCTCCGAGGATTGAAAGTTTTTCGATTTCGTTCGCGTACAATCATGAATGATATGGTCTAGTTCTCTATATCGTAGAAGGAAATATATATTTGGCGTTTTTCGAAGATAGGTTAACTATATGGGGGGATTTGAAAGGTAGAAGTTTGAAAGCGAGGGGGCGACGATTGTAAAATTTACTGTTGTAAGCTCATGAGATTTCTCAAAAAGTTTCACATTTCAGCATTACGATATTTATAAGTGTGTGTGTAATGTGTCAAATAATATTACACGTTGTGCTGTTTTACAAATCGATAAAATAATATTTTCAGAATAAAATCAAAATTACATTATTTATAATTAATGTCTATTTCAAATTTATAATTTAAATTACAGCGTAACTTGTGTATAGCTTTTTACATACACTTTTTGGAAATAGTAAGTTAAGGATGAGATCCGTGAAACGTGACTAACAATGATCTTTGTGTACATCATTAGTCAGAATTGTTTTCACAAATGACAAATGATCTGTAATTTGAAAGATGCGCATATCTCAACAATGCAAGTCAAAGTCAGAGTCGGCACACCATGGTTATAAATAGAGGTTCGATGATGTTTCGTATAACGACTACGGAGCTACAGGACGAGTAATTAATTTTAGTTAGACAGCTCTCGTGGCGTAGAGTGAAAGGCGATAGATATTGACTTGCGCCTCCCACAACGACAGTGGCATGTCGGAATTCACGGCGGGAGATGCGAATGAATTCGTATTGTTGTGCAGCCATAACGATGCTGTGCATAAGACTATCTGCAACTGTGTGTATGAGAGAGAGAGAGAGAAGTTGTGCACAGAATCTCAGCATTGCATTGTTGCAAATAAGGCCGTCAACTCTTCATTAGTCTCTAGAATAGTCAAAGAGAGCAAAGGTACGAAATATCATGTTCTAATGTCTACAAACGATCCAAACACAAATTCTCTAAATTTCAATCTTTTAACATATAATAAATCACGAGCTAAGCTCTCTGAACGATCTAAGAACCTGCGTTAGCTACAATAGCCATTTTGTATATTACGGACGGGAAATGACGTTCCTAACATTTCGTCCGAGGAAATATTTGCCAAGTCGTCGCGAAGAAGCTAAACGAAACTGCATCATTTGGCAAAAGTTGTGTCATTACGTTTGGCCGCGACATACATAACACTGTCCACCCGATATTACACTGATCCCGGTCGCTTTTTCCTCTCTCTCTCTTTCCCTTTTTCTCTTAGCGCCAACTGACGCTCTCCTTTCTCTGCACATTCGCCATATACTATGACACCCTCGAAGAAAAGTGCTCTCTCGCGCTCGGCTTCTCTTCGGAAGAACGACGACGATCGCAGACGATGTAAAGAGGGCACGGACACGAGTAGAAAGAGCAACCACAATTTCACCGCACAATCGCACCGCTGCGGAAAGGGCGACGCGCGGAGCGGAAGACCGAGGGTGGCGGCGGAGTTTTTGCTACGGTCGGAGCTGACCGCAGCGCTGGACACAGCAATACCGAGTTCCCGGTTTGGCATTTTACGGAGCCATTCGAGCAAGATGGTGCGTGATAATGGCGCCTTATAGGGGAAAAGCAATTTCTGTCCGCAGACCCGGAGAGCTGCGCCAGTCCTCGCCCTCGGCACTCTTCTCTCTTCGTGCTGCGACGGTTACGACACATACCCCGGACACGTAGATTCTCGCCTCTTAATGTAGCGTCTAGTATCGTGCTCGTGACATCGCGTGTTCTCTCATTCCGTTAGGTTGTGTGTGTTCTAAATTAGATGTACCGTGGATAATACCATTTGTCCGCCGTGTATATCTTTAACCGCAGCTTGAAAAGCTGTCATGTTGCGTATAATGAACCGATACTCTTTGGTATTCTACTATTGTACTCGGACTCTGTAATTAAGGCACGTAATAATATATATGTAATAAATATCCCACGCTCGTCAAAGTTTGAGAGTATATTCGAAAATCTAGAAAATTGCCTGTCGACATTAACGCGTGATTTATAAAATCTAATTCGAGACGTATTTGCATCGAAGCATAAAATAGATTTAAGATTCCCGTATGCGCGCACGAAAATACTCGGAGCAGACAAGGACGACGACGAAGGCTTTTAGTATGAGTCTAGTTTATGAGTGTCGGGCATAGACATTTGTTACGCGACAGCTCTCGGCCGTCGTCGCCGCGGAAAGAGCAATGTGTAATATTTCTCCAGCGCGACGCCTACGCTTCAGCCCGACCCGTAAATCCGTCGTTTATAACGCGCGGATAATGTGTTTATCTTTTATCGACAACATAAATATTCGGAAACGCGCAGATTACATCACGCTCGCTACGAGTAATAGAATACCTCCAAGTTTTAACTCGAGACGTTAGAAATCCCCGTCTTCGCAAATAACGAACGAACGACAGGCAATTTAAATGTTAATTTTCAAACTATCTCAATCGTAAAAGATGTAAAAAAGCTCTGAAGTCACCAGATGATAATTAAAAAATGATAGTAATTTAATGAACCACATAGTTAATTGTTTCACATTATATCTTGTCACATTCTAAGATCAAAAATTAAGTTTTTTATAAAAAAAGTTGTGTTTTAGCACTTGATAAGGGCCGGAACGTCGTGAATATTAAATAAAGATTACTTAATTCGCCAGAGTTGGTTCATTAAATTACTACCATTTTTTAATTATCTCAATCATAGTTTCGCGATACCGATAGCGCGTATATAATAAAGCTTGTATTTTTTTCTCGGCATAAATCAAGACGGCGATTTTTACAAGCTCGCCGACTTAATCTTCAAGATGAGAAAAAGAGTGTTGTAATTGAACACCGTCATCTCTCGGTCCCAAAATACTCGAGCGACTAAATGAACCGACCGGAGAATCCCGGTATAGTTGATCGCGTAACCGAGTGGGTAACGTCGTCGGTTGGCCACGAGCACGTGACCGCCACTTCATATCCGATCGTATAAAGCGAAGCGCAACGCGAGCGAGCCGACCTCGCATCTCCACCCCGTGTCCTCGCCAAACTTCGCCCGACCCTCCGCGGCAAGTTGGCCGCACGTTTATAACCGTTCTGCACGGTATGTCTAGAAGTCTCCGATCTCTCTCTCTACGACTCTCTCGCACTCGCGGGTTCGCCGAAGGGAACGAAGGTGGGCGGAGGGTGAGAGAGAGGCTACCAGATATAAATTTCCTGATATTCGACCGTTCGTGTCGTTTGAAATGGGGCAGTTTTCTCGGGACCTAATGGTTATTGCCTTTCTCGGCGGACATATTGCGTTCCATCCAGTGCAATGTGTGCGGCCGATATATCAGAGCTCTTCGCTCTCTCGGGCTCTCTCGGATAAGGGTGGCTGTCGGGGGAGGCGTGGATGTAGCGACGAGAAGAAGAGAGGGAGGGACAGAGTGTATGTGTGGGTCGCTTTACAGCGAAAGAGAGAAAGAGAGAGTGAGAGGAGGAGAGATGTCGACCGCGCAGCTACCGGAAATCCCTCCGCAGCGGAGCACAGCAGTCCGCTCGGTGGTCGTGCCCTGCCAGACTGCAGACGGGAAGTGGCCGAGGTGTGGCCGCGGAGTTGAATTATTACAAGCTGCCCCGCCATTCATACAGGATGCATGCCCCGGCCGGTGCCCGTAAATCTTCAACGCTACGTCAGCCCTCGACTTCGCGCGCCGCCTGCTAGCGGCTGATGTTATTATCGTTGGCTTAAGCGCGAATTGAATAACGCGCGTTCGGGTGGCGCACTGACGAGGGGTTAAGTGATTTTCACCCCATTAGTCGCGACACGTTGCCCGGACGGAGCTGCCGGACGGAGCCGAAGCTCCGTCTTCGCCGTCTAGTTTAGCACTGTCTATGAAGGATAAGATTGATTCGCGTCGTAAGAAACTTTCATAAACAACTCATTACTCGGAAGATGGATGATTGGTTTCGTCGATTAATTTAACAACGTTAGACGTAATCGATTTTTACGCCAAATGTGTATAATTTTCGTTGTACAACTTATTAATTCAATGAGAGAAATTATTAAACGGAGGATAATTTCATCTCGTTGATTCTAAGCTAATCGTCGAAACTAAATGCTTGCCATCCAAATTGCATCGATAGTTGTAGAATTGATTTACAGACATTACGATCGCACTTTGCAATTCAGTAACGATCCTTTATAACCAGAACACTAATGGATGATTATGAAATTGTCGATTAGCTACGCCGACTGATCGTAATCGGCTCTAATATAGAATTGTTTCCGTCTTGGCACGGAATAGTAATAACACCTAGCACTTTGGCAAGTTCGCGCAGCCAACGCACATGTGCATAGCGATATTTAAAATAGAACTTTGTTTTCCTTTGTGATCGCGCGCGTAGGTAGCGTATAAAATAACGTATGAACAGATGTTGCTATGATTAAAAGTATGTTACTTGAATTGAATCACAGATTGCCCCGCGCGTTCGATAACGCGCGTTTGAATCGATGAAAGGATCCTAATTTACACTCGGTTGACTCCCTTCAGTTTATACTTCAAAGAGAGACCATGTAGCTCGCGCAGCTCGCAAAATATAAATAGTAACTCGCCTGGAGCACGAGTTAAACAAGATGAAACAGAAATTGCGATTTTACAATGTAATTTCTACGCGTGACTAATAAAAACTTGGTAAATTAACTATATTATAAAATATGATCAATTTTTTAGTTTGTATTGCAAATTACATTGCAATTTATTTTTTTAAAAAACGTGCTATATAATACTTGCCGGTGTCTCTTATAAATTAAATGAATTTCATTTAGCACAATAAAATTAATCTACACACGCGCGCGTAAAGATTAAAAAAAAAATCATAACCGTATCATGTAAAAACATAAATGTTAATTTAATTTTCAGAATGCCCGTCAATCGCCAAGCTCCGCGATCGATTCGGTCCCGGATATCAATAAATGTGCAAATATCGATAAACGGTAAGAGCCCCGAGAATACCATTTTGAAAGGAGCGACGAACGAATCGACTTAGGCAGATTCCAACAATCGAACAAGAAATACCATACAATCTCGAGTTCTGCCGAAGGTAGGCGGGAGAAAACGTACTCGGATGCCGAGCACGTATTGACAACCTGGTCACCGACGCGCTCAATGGCAACCCCAAATAGAAAGAAAGGTGAAAGACGTTTTCTTCCTCCGGTCTCTCCTCTATCCCAAGTTCAATCCTCTTGCCGACACGCCCGGGGTCTTGCACACAGAGGAACATTTTTACAACGGTCAGCGCTCTCTGATGTTCGAACAAATCTCCGCCGACGACTCCTCGCATGCAGTCCAATTTAACTAAATCCTTTCCGCTTTTCCTCGCCGATGGAGAGGCCCCCCCGGATGAGAGTAGGTTCGAGGGAGAGGGTGGGGGTATCCATACGTGAAGATAAGATTGGAAAAGTTGTATGAGGGGCAACTTTAACGGCTATATAACCATTACAGTGCCGATAAAGTGGAATCTAGTGTCTTAACGGTCCGGAACGAAATTCCGGATATAGCGTCGTATATTCCAATGGAGTTAAACACGTTCAGATACTGGTCGTCTGCCCGCCGTTGTGAGAAGTGTACGCGCTGGTTTATTGATCGATCGATCTGAGAGAAATGGTCAGGGTAACTTCCAACTATCTATCCTACTTTACACGCGCTTATGAATCCGTCCATAAACAGGGATAACGGACTTAAGGTTCTCTATTGGATAAGAAAATTTTACAGATACGATTGCATTTTACATCCGTCGCGAACAAAGATTGTAAACTCGTATAAATTTCTTTATTATATATCTGTACACATTTATTTATTTTGCAACAAGCAATTTTATAATTAATTTTTAATCAGGGCCGTCTCGAACGTGTTTTACATATATTACAATTTCGCATTATGAAACTAAATTTACGTACGATAAATGGAGTTCCTTACGGCAATATATATGTGCGGAAAACAGATTGATAACATATGTTATACCAGAGACAAGAAGCAGTAATTTCAAATTACAACGCGAATGTTGTTGATGTAAATATAAGGATCGCTGGTAGACGATAATACATATTTGTGCTGCAGGCTACGTTTGCCATAACTCACCCACGGGACTGACAGCTTGCATAATACCCGCGAAATTGGTTTTATAAGACGACGCCAAGCACTGCTTCACAACAATGCCATAAACGCTCCGGGTAAATTACGACTCAGTGGCGTAACAACGTCGGCGGAAAGAATATCGAAAAAAATAACGAACCCAAAATAGATTTTTTTGCAAAGTATTTTTTATTATTTAAAACGAGAGGAGATGTAGGTTTTATATTTTAATGTTAAAACTATATAATGTCAAATATTTTTATATGTATATTTTTTAAAATAAATTTTTATTGAAATATACATACAATAGGTTAAACATTTTTATGTTGTGTAAAAAAACCAGACGCGTATGAAATATTTCACATAAAAAAATATGTCGAAGTTTACGAAATATAGGAATACGTTTCGAGAGCTTTGTTGAATGTATAGTTGATCGATATAACGTTGCATACGACACAGGAAATTGAATATCCTTCATATGGACACCCATCATTTATGGATGTATGAACCTTACATTGATACCTATGAAATGATTGATGCTGTATTTAATGTTAACTTTACATATACGCACGCATATTCCCTTTTTCAGCCATAAAAATAAATTTATAAATATATATTATCATTATAATATTTTTTTTTAAATATTGATACAACATCCTAAAAAAATAGAAATAAAACATTCAATATTTTATCAGAGGGATTCCTTAAAATTAATATATTCAACAAAATATGATATTAAATATTAAACTGTAAAATTATATAGAATCCATCGCGAGAATACTTTTCCTGCAACATTTTGAAACATCGAGAGGGGAATATCAAGATTATCGATACTCGTTAAAAAATTGATTATTTTGCCGGATCAACGTACAGCGGCGGAGAAGAAAAGCGTAGGCGCCAAACATCTCTGACAAATGGAGGTACCATAACTCTACACGAATGAAAATGTGAGAGAATGTCTCATGCACAAGGAACTTCACCATTCGCTGAGTTATAATCTCTCATATCATTGTTTTATGGCAGGACCATAAACAATTCAGATGCACAGGACTGTTCCGCCCGCGGGAGTAAGCAGGCTACGCCGCGCAGTGATTTACCGAAAGCCGTAAATTTTTAACTTACTGCGGATTAGATAGCACCATCTGAATGTAAATTCATCGTGACAAAACTGTGTCAGATACAGTCGACGACAAAAACTCCCGGCGAGCTCCCGCTTCGAAACGCAGTCCTCGGACAATTCGCGGTACTACGCCACTGCCGCGATTTGCATAAGATAAATACCTACGGAGCGAATATACCATCCATCTCGGTGCCCGCGGCCTAATTTTATTCCTCTACCGCGGATCTCTTTTTATGCGCTTCGATTCATAATTTCTTGTTTCTTCACAAAACGAGGATATAAATTTTCATAATTTTGCATGTTGCATACACAAGCGTGCAAACCGAACAGCACACGTGTAACGATAAATACACCGAACGAGATGACTTTGCTTAAACGACTTTGCTTTGTAAATGACACTCTACATGTCAAATGAGAGAGGAGAATTTTTCAATACACACACGCGAAATATTTCGGCGCGTAATAATAAACTCCCGACGTGATCGATTCTTCTCTCCCGGAATAAAATTACGTTTACGTATCACTTATATAAAATGGACCCATAACACCATTCGCCCCTCGATCATATTTCAATCCTGACGGTTCACCGAGCGGTAGCGTTCGATCTCGTTTCTGTGCCATTTGCCGCGCGCAAACGATCGTCATAAAGCACCCTGCGAGAGAGTCGGTGCGTCGAGAAAAAAAAAAAAAAGTACGTCCACTTTCACGGTACACGAAAACGGACACACGAAAGATCTCTCTTTCTCTTTCCCTCTTTCATCTTCTCTCTTTTTTCCTCTCGTGTTCCTTCGAAGATCGCCAGGGCACGGTAAGTAGCGGCCATAATCTTAGTGTATGCACGCGGGCATCGCTGTAAGTCCGCCTGTAAACGGCCGAATTATTCAAATGTTCGCACCCGACTAGTACCAAACGTTAGCGTATAGCGACGACAAGCGGTTCGCGAGCAGCCAGCGACCGCGTAACTCCTGTTCCGCGTTCCACCACGACGATAAATTGGCGTCGATATCGCGGCCAATTTCCAGAATGCGTTTAAGATGTAGCCGTGTTAGCGCTCGTGTAAGGCTTTGAAACTGCTGGGGGAGTTTCACGAGAAAGGAAAGGAAAAGGAGCGTGCGATTCATATACATGAATAGCGCGATTATCTGCGAATGGCGAGCGTTTCTTTCGAATTTCGATACGAAAGGAAAACCAATTCCTCCGCGTGTTTTCCGTATTTTTTCCCGGGAAACAACAAAATTGGCTTTCGTAAAAAGAACAAAAATTCCTCGAAAAAACAAACATAAACTTAGAAAATATCACAATCTTGTTGAACAATCGTTAGTAGGATAATTAATGAATTTAGCTTCGAAGGGGAATTAAATGCCGACGACGGTCGCGATTCGAATATAAGCGATCGAAAAGAGAAACGAGAGTGGTCGCGGAAATGGAGGAGCAAGAGGCGAAGGTAAAAAGGGTAGTTGAGTTGTGCGAAGCGGAAGGCTAGTGGTGATTTACTGCGGCACGTCGTGCGCCAGATTACCCCCGCAACCCTTACAACGCAAGCCACCTAACTCCTCGACTAAAAGTTGACGGAGAAACCAGCGCCCGCGGCCACCCACGTCGCAATAAACGAGCCAATTAATATTGCTTCCCTCTTGCGCTCGCTACTGCCCTTGACGGTTCGCTGGATCATCCCCGTGCGTGGGTGAATAATTGCATGAACGTCGCCTAGACGAAGGATCGTGGTTACCCGCCATTACCGAGCGTGAAAATTCTGCGGTCAAACCGCGCAGATTAGTGGGATAGAATAAATAGAGGAAAGGTCCCTCTCTCTCTCTCGTGCGCGCTTAGTCTTTGTGTCACTTTTAATTTATCTATAAATAAGAACGCGCCGACTGTTTGTGCATTTTTTATCGATTATTCTCTCTCGAGAAACTGGTGTGAAAATTGACACGAAAATATATAAAAAGAAAGAGATTGTATAAATATTTCTTCTAAGATTATATTATCGTCACATTGTCGCGCCAAGTTTGTTAACGATTTTGATACGCGCTCGTAAAAGCTTTCCGGTATGTTTTACATGCAAGAGATCTTTGTTCGGGCGTGTCTTCGTAAGTCTCGCCCTGAAATATAAAGGAAATGATTAACGAGCGAACCCACCCTCCTTCATTTTCACGCCGTTTGTTCTCTCCCTCGATATTTACGAACTCTTGCCATAATATATGGCTATACGCCATATACGTGCGTAGACTTATGGCCAGTCATGTAACGCTACATGCGAGTTTTAATGTAACGATAAATGATTGTTCAAATTTTTCTAGAAAAAAAACGTGCGACAATTTTAAAAGATTTCGAAAAGAATTGTATTTTGTAACGCGAAATCGTAATCTTTCGACATTATATATATATATATATATATCTTTGAAAAAAAGAGCTGATATATTAAAAAAATATACATAACATTTGAATTATTCTACCATTTCTAATACACTCCGATATACATACTTGTGCATCAACGTCGTGCATTTCGCACGGAACCTTCACATTTGAAAATGTAAAATGATGGATTGTCGTGATGTTAATCAACGTGGATAAGTATAGAGCTCGTCTAAAGCCATCCGAGAGGGAAAAAAATCAACGTCCAACTTCATTTACCTTCTCACGAAGCTCATAACGATACCGACATTTGTCAAAAAGCGCGATTACGCGGCGGCGAAACTGGCAGCCGCGACGGTGTTAGCAACCGCCATCAGTCGCGCCGCGTTGTTTTAATGCCCGCGTGATTCTGCGCCGGGGCTGCGTGATGAGGCCTCCTAATAACCAGTCGCTCACACGTCTGGCTGCCACCCTTTCCGCCCGTTCCGACGGCACCAACGTCACCCCCACGGCACCCCGGCTACACCAAGCCAACACCCGACCCCGCTCTCACTCTCTCTCTTCCCCTTCGCAGCGAGCTGCGAAACTGTGGCATGTCGGCTTCGCATCAATCTTGTTAAATTACCCGCCCGGCCAGGAGTCGTTCTCTCGCTCGTGGATTGATAAATTGCCCGGTCCCGTCTTCCGCAGACACGTAACGCGCTCGACGTCGCGACCTCGAGGGTAGGGCGAGGTACGAGACGAGAGGGACGCCACGTTACCAAAATGCGTCGAGGAAAATCAAATTAACGTGCGCGGCGCTTCGCCTCGCTTTCTGACAACGTGGATCCACTCGGCGCGCCATGCTTCCCTGCCCAACCTGTCCCTCAACGCTTTGAACGCCGCGCCGCGGCGAGCGCGAATGATGGAGGAATAGGAGCGCGCGTTTGACAGTTGCGGCTTTCAAGATGACTTTTTGCTGTCGATGAGTGACGCGAATCAAATTTTCATTCGCCACGTTTTTCAGCCGATTCATTGTTTGCGCGAATCAAATGCTGTTTATAATAATGCCTATAACGTAATTGCGCACTTCTAGATCTAGCAATTTATGATTTTGATTATAATAAAATTGCTTATCTCGGAGAGCAATATTCATATGCTATATATAGTATTTGCGGCCAAATTAATTTCTTTGACATCGAGAGGTTGAAATTATAACGCGAAAATCTTATTCGAGTTAACATTATAGCGATTCGTACA